GGGCCCGAAACTGGACACAGCCCTCCAGCTGAGGTTGAACCAGAGTCCACTACAAGTACAGCATCACTTTCCTCCTGTACTGTGTTCCAATTAACAAACCACAGGATACTGTCACCTTCATGACCTGTGCTCTTGTCCTGTCCTGCCACCTTTAGTGACGTTTGTACCTATACCTGCAGCACCCTTTGCTCCTGCAGCCCCAGTAGAATTGTCTCCTCTTTTGTCTGTGTTCTTCCCACCACTTCTCTACGTTGCTACTTGTTAGCCCACTCCAACAGCCCATCTGGGTCCTGCTGGAGGTTCTACGCTGTCTCCCTCATCATTTAGGATACTTGAAAGTTTAGTGGCACCTGCAGGTTTTCAAACACTAGCCTGTACAGCCAGGGTCAAGGTCCCACGTGTGGGCCAAGAAAAGCAGGAGTCCCAACACTGACCTCCAGCTGTGTCTCCACCATGAACCTGCCTCCTGGGTACCAGCTCGTGTCTCTGCTACAGTGACACAGACTCGAGCCGATTGTCGTCATTGTTTGTGCCAGCTGGTATTTCCCCGTGCGGGAATGGGAGTGCTGGCTGAGCTCAATGTTAATGCTGTTCCAGCGCTGAAAGTGTCTGGGGGTTGGGGTGTAGAATTTGGGTGTCTGTGTCCACTGGGCAAGGAGAGGGGTGAGATCTCTTGACTTTCACGTGCGGTGCTGACCATGGACGGTGTTGTATTCCACAGGAAGCAGAGACCAAGATTGAGTACAGAGCCTGGAACCCATTCCGATCGAAACTCGCCGCTGCGATCCTTGGTGGCATTGACCAGATTCACATCAAGCCCGGAGCCAAAGTGCTGTACCTGGGAGCAGCATCTGGCACCACTGTTTCCCACGTGTCAGATATTGTGGGACCTGTGAGTCAGCAGCCAAATACACGTCGTATGGGTCAGGCTAAAGGCTGGGAAGGGTCCAGCACGTGGACGCCCGTCTGGCATGGCAGGGTGGTGTTTGAGGAGGGTCCAGATGGAGGGAGGGGTTTGGGGAAATAGGATTTTGGCGGACTGATCAATCTCTCTCTCTCTCTCTCCTCGACAGGAGGGCTTGGTCTATGCAGTTGAGTTCTCTCACCGGTCTGGCCGTGATCTCATCAATGTGGCTAAGAAACGGACGAACATCATCCCTATTATTGAGGATGCCAGGCACCCCCACAAGTACCGCATGCTCCTCGGTAAGTTGGGCCTGCAAACTGCTTTGTCATTGGGAGCTGGATCCAAGTGCTGTGTCTGCCTGAGTTAATTGCCATTGACAAAGTCTGACTGAGTGGGGGTGGGACCAGAAGCATTGAAATGAGTCACTGGTGAATCTGATGGGGTATCAGAGAGTGAGAGGGAGAATGTGGGACTCACTCCCACAGTGGGTGCAGGGGGCGAATATGGAACTTGCTCCAACGGGGAGTGGGAGGGGGAATGTTGGACTCTGTCCCACAGGGAGTTGGTGGGAGAGATGTGGGACTCGGTCCCACAGGGAGTGGTAGAGGGGCTTCGTGTCAATGTATTGACAGGGTCTGAGAGGGATAGAAGGTGATGGTGTGGGGGGAGATGAAGAGGAGGGTTGATGGTATGGAGCAGGGGCATTGGCATGGAGGAGCGGAGCCGAATGGCCTGTTTTACTGCTGTAATGTTCTGTGTGCCCAGAGTCACGAATCAGTGAATTTGTTTCATTATCTCCAGCAGATAGACACTGGCATTGTCATGTGCTAGCAATGAGCAGCTTGTGTGTGACTACCTGCTGTAGAGTGTAGAGTGGGGTCTTTGATGACAATGGGTTTAAAAGGAGCCTTTAGTGATCGGGGACCAAGGGCAAGACCCCATCACTGTATACCCTGCATTAGGGACAAGAGGAAACCATTCGGCCCCTCAGAGCCTGGTCTACCGTTCAGTGGAATCGTAGCTGACCCCATCTATTTTGTCTTCGCCTCGTTGGATGACAAAAATACACCAACATCAGATTTAAAATGATCAAATATTGAGTTCCAACTTTGTGCCTCCCAAGTGCATTTCTGAAAGGTCATGCTTGAATTTTTACACTTTTTTATTCCCTTTCTCCGAGATTCTAACCTGTAGGCCTGCCCATTGATATTTGAGCTTCCCAAGTCAAGCAGACCCACAACCACTTATAGTAACTTCTGTCCTATTCTCTGCTTTCTCCTCAGGAATGGTGGACGTGATCTTTGCGGATGTGGCGCAGCCTGACCAGTGCAGGATCGTGGCACTCAATGCCCACCACTTCCTCAAAGTGGGAGGCCACTTTGTCATCTCTATTAAGGTGAGCATGGGGTGCCCCTCCCAGGTATGCAAGGCTGGCTGGGTTAAACCACTACTTGTCAGGTACAGGGATGTGTGTTTCTGTGTGGAGGAGACTCCCTACCTCAATCCCTTTGGTGGTTCCGTACTGGGCCTTTCATTTGCAAGATCTCTCAACTGATTCCATAGCAAGCGTATCTGTCAGTATCAGGATGCGCAGAACTTACGGGTCACTGTCTTGATTCCTCATGGTTTTGGAATTTGCCAAGATGATTCCACGTCAGTGAAAGGTGGATCTATCCCAGGACACTGAGGAAGGTAAGGGAAAAGTTTGCTGGGGTCTTGATGGAGATCTCTGTCGTAGAAGATAGAATGTAGTTATAGAAGAGTAATTTTTTTTTCTGACTGGAGGTGTGACCAGTGGTGTTCTGCAAAGATTGGTGCTGGGACGTCTGTTGTTTGTAACATACATTAATAACTTTGCTGAGAATGTCGGTGGTCTGGTTAGGAAGTTTGCAGATGACATGAAAATGGAGACCTGTGTATAGTGAGGAAGGTTGTCAAACGATACAGCAGGATATAGATCAGCTGCAAAGTTGGATAGAGAAGTGGCAGATGGAGTTTAATCCAGGCACGTGGGAGGTGATGCATTTTGTAAGGTCAAATGCAAGAGGAAAGTATACTGTAAATGACAGGACCTTTAGGAACATTGATCTACAGAGGGACCTTGGGATGCAAGGCCATAGCTCTGTGAAAGTGGCAACACCAGTGCGTAAGGTGGTAAAGAAGGCATATGGCATGCTTGCCTTCATCACTCGGGGAAGTGAGTTATAAGAGTTGGCAAGTCATGTTGCAGCTGTATTTAACTTTAATTAGGCTGCATTTGGAATACTGTGTGCAGTTCTGGTAGCCACCACACTATAGGAAGGATGTAGAGGCTCTGCAGAGGGTGCAGATGAAGATGTTGCCTGGATTGGAGTTTATTAGCTATAAGGAGAGGTTGGACAAATTGGATTGGTGTTGCTAGAGTGTTGGAAGTTGAGGGGTGAGTTGATAGAAGCTTATAAAATTTTATGGGAGGCATGCATAGGGTCAATAGTAGAAGTCTTTTTCCCAGGGTGGAGATCCCAAATACCGGGTAACAGGTTTAAGGTGAGGGGGGGAGAATTTTAGAGATGTGCAATCCAAGGTTTTTACACACAGGGTGGTAGGTGCCTGCAGTGTGCTACCTGGGGAGGTGTTAGAACCAGATACTATAGCCATGTTTAAGAGGCATTTTAAGCAGATACATGAATAGGCAGGGAATACAGGGATAAGGACCATGTGCAGGTAGGTGCGATTAGTTTAGAATGGTATCATGGCTGGCGCAGGCATGGTAGACACAAGGGCCTATCCTGTACTGTTCTATATAAGGAAGAGTGTACACAGGGCTATGGGAGGGGGATTAAATGGGTGGGTAGGATCAGTGATGGGAGGAGAGTGTACACGAGCCTCGGAGGGGATTAAATGAGTGGGTAAGGTCAGTGATAGGGGAGAGCGTACTTAGGGCTGATGGAGGGCAGTGAATTGGAATTGCATGCTGGTGGATCGTTGGGACTGTTAACATGACTGTTTGCGTGATCCTTCCCTTTCCACTTGATGTCTATTCTTACTGATTCTACTGAAAGGTTACGGGCAGGAGTGAGTTTTTGAGTGGATTAGCATGGGCTGGGGTGAGGCTGTGCCCGCAGATCAGAATTATGTACAGAGCTGCCCCTCTCTGAGGGGCCTGGGATTGAGGACAGGCCTGTCACATGCCCTATGTGTTTGACTTCACAGGCAAACTGCATTGACTCCACTGCTGCCCCCGAAGCTGTGTTTGCCGCGGAGGTGAAGAAGATGCAGCAGGAGAATATGAAACCCCAGGAACAGTTAACCTTGGAGCCATATGAGAGGGACCATGCTGTTGTTGTTGGGATATACAGGTGCGTGCTGTTTGAGTAACCCCTGTCTCCTCTGGGAAAGGCAAGGAGCAAGGCAGAGCTTCTAATGGGGTCAGTTCCCTTCTGTTCCTTGCTGAACAGGACTGTGTTTGGAACGTCTCTGCTGCAAATGTGCATCCCCTCGACTGTCAGTGACTGAAAGGCTCTGTCAGAACGTGAGTCTCTTCATTTCAGACAAGAGGTAGGAATTGTTCCTGTGTTGTGAGGCTGTAGCTCATAATGATGTACATCTAGGGCATATTCCAGCCAGGTGAGAAATGATAAGCTTGTTCCCCTTTTGGTTCAAACCTTTTGGTTGTAATTTAAGTTTACCTTAGCAGAAAGCTCCATCCCTCTTCAATTGAAATGTAGTTAGTTTCTCGGTTACGGTAAGTAATGAGGAGCCAGTAATGAGGTTTCATTGGGTTAAGAGCCAAATTTATTACCTTTTAAACTCAAGAATTAACAATGTGCCATCAAGCATAAAGTGTTTATGCAGTCACTTGGGCCCTCAGTCGTGTGCCTGCATGCACACCGGTTTGAAGGGGCTCGTGTCTGAGATGAAACAAGTTAAAATATTACACAGTTTTTAAGAGTCCGTTGCTCCTCTTTTGAGACATAAAATTTTCATCTGAGGTTACTGTTGGTTAATCGGTTTGTTGGACGATTGAGAAGGGACAACAGTACATCGTTGTCAGTAATCTCCCAGAATCTCCCTTGAACAACTGGTTCCAATGTGTGGTGTCCACAAGGTTCCTTCGGGTGAATTTGTGACTGTGGTGACACCGCTTGTCATGTGGTGTCAATGTCCTGATATTTTGCATTTGTTAACATTTTCCTGAGACTATAATAGGTTTCAATTGGTGTCTGGTTTGTAGAGAGTCTCTCTTTTTCGCCCTCATCACTGGTATTTAATGTTTTAACAAAGATCTGTATCGTTGGTTGGTTGGCTGAGCTGACTGGTTTTCGTGCAAATGTTTCATCCCGTTCTGGGTGACATCTTCAGTGCTGTCTAGCCTCCGTTGAAGCGCAGTTTAAATGAGCGATAACACACTGCAACACTTCAGAGCTACGCAAAAATGAAGAGAAACACCTATACAAACTCTTTGCAAACAATGGGTATCCTAATAGCTTCATCCGCCGATGCCTGGCAAATAAACAACGCAAGAAGACCCTGTACCCCCCAACACACTGGCCACTCTACCTTATATTAGAAACACATCGGAACTGGCTACAAGACTCCTATGACCTCTTGGAATAATAGCACATAAACCAATAGCGACACTTCACCAACTATTCTCAAAGACTAAAGACCCCATACCCACAATGAGCAGGACAAATGTGATATATAAAATACCACACAGCGACTGTGAGAAGCAATACACAGGACAGGCAAACAGGAAACTCGCAACCAGGATACATGAATACCAACTCACAGCAAAACAGCATGACCAACTGTCCCTTGTTTGCCTTCACTCCGATAAAGGAGGACATCGGTCTAACTGAGACAATGTGACAGTACTAGGACAAGCAAAACAAAGACAGGCACAAGAATTCCTGGAAGCCTGGTTTTCAACCACTGGTGCCATAAACAAACGTTGAAATAGACTCCATCTACATACCACTACAGAGCAAAACCAGAAAAGGAACTACCCACCACGACAGACTGGACCATATAAATTCAGAATGGAACAGAACAACAGCACTTCAGTAGAGGCTACACAGCACTGAAAATGTTACCTAGAAGTGGGGGCAAAACGTTTGCACAAAAACCATACAACTCCTCCTCACCGGTATGTTGGTTCTCCCACCTTCAGTTTGAGAGGACTTGTGCCCAAGTTGCTGCTGATGCTCAGGATCTGCCACAGTTCTTTGCCAGAATAGTGTCAAGTGACTATAGTGATCTTCCTGAATTTTCCTCAAATCTGTCCCATAGCCTGACACTTGTGATCCAATTTTTATTCATTCTCCGGTCATCAGCATCACTGGTTCGACCAGCATTTATTGGTCGCCCCCAGTTGACCTTGAGAAGATGGTGGTGAGCTGCCTTCTTCAGCTGTTGTCATCCATTGTAGGTTGACCCATAATGCCCCTTAGGGAGGGAGTTCCAGGATTTTGACCCAGTGACACTGAAGGAACAGTAATATATTTCCAAGTCAAGATGGTGAGTGGCTCGGAGGGGAACTTGCAGAGGGTGGTGTTCCCATGTATCTGCTGTCCTTCCAGATGGAAGCGATCGTGGGTTTGGAAGATGCTGTCTGAGAAGCCTTGGTAAATTTGTGGTCTTCTCCACTGGGGGGGCCTACAGTCTTGTCTATTTCCTCCTTTAGAGGGGGTTTCAACATCCAATTTGTTGATGAAAATCAAACCAGGACCATGCCGTCGATTGGCTGCAATTCACAGCTGAAGCCTCCCGTTATTTTTAAGCATACATCCGTTCTAAGGGTGTGTGTATCAAAGACCACCTTGCCATGTTAGCTACCTGTTTGTGGTCTGAATCTGGGAAATGCTGTCTATGATGATTTTTTTTTTAAATACAGGCCACCAGCCAAACAGAAGAAATTTTAAGCCAAGACCAGAGCCCAGGGACCGGTGAGAGAGAGATGGTTATGGACATGCTGAGTCTGGGATTCCGCTGTACAAAACTCTTCTAACTGGATCTCTGAGACTGGATAGAGCTCCTGACAATTTGCTGACTCTGCATCTCAAATGGGGCACATGCGATTTTACTAATTTTTTTTCCCCTTGCCTCATTGTTGTCCGAAGGCTCTTTTGAGTTCTCAAACTCTACTGTTTGCAGTATCTTTCTGACCATGCTGGGGTGGGGATGATCTCTGGAGGGGAGTGTTTGCAAGGGTTTTGGAACAGGCCTGTGGATAGATGGACATTTTTAACTCTCATGTTTTCGTGGTAGGGGGAGGGAGTGGGATTTGGATTCCAGTTCTGGGTCTTACGCGGTGCAAACATTTCATTGAGTTGGGAACCTCTTGTGCCATTGGAAGGAGGCTGGGAAGGGGAGTAGAGGGAAGACCGTTCAGCCCCTCGACTATTCTGTATGCATATCCTGAAGAGCAAGACTTGGATCTGGACTTGCTGATAGGTATCGAGACCAGGTGGTAGAAGAGAAACCATTTATAAGCACGCTGTTCCATAGGATTGCCAGGGCAAAGTCCCACGTCATCCGGTGTTCTTTTTCACACTGTTTGAAAAGTTTTGCGGGTGATGCCTGACTGGAGTGTTTTTCCTGTCTTTAGCTGTGGGAGCTGGCCCAGGAGACCATGTTGTGTACTTCAGTTGCTGATGAATTTTCAATGCGTTATTAAAAAAAAAAGACAAACAAATGAATTTAGTGCGAGATGTGCAGTGTGATGTTCTGTCTTCTCTTGTCCTCTTTTCTGTTACTCACATGACTGTGTAGCAGTGGGAAATTTTCTGGGTCATGTGTGTGCTGCCAAATCTGTTTCCTCACTCACCCCGGTGCCTGGTAAGACTAAAGAGAGCAATCTGGCAGGTATTTTGAAAGATGTATTTTTGGTGGTTCGGTTCAGACTTGTTTGTGAAATTAATGATCGAAACTGGCGAGAGTTGGATAGACTCGATTGTATGGGAGTAGTCCCTGCTTGTTCTCCCATTACCCAAGTAATTTTCTTCCCTTCCTTTTGTCAGTCACTGTTGAATCCATGTCTGTCCTTCCAGGGAGCACATTCCCAATCCCTCAGAGTTGCCCACCATCTGGTTCCTTTTCTTTAACCTCTGTTGTATTTAGAATTAAAATGTTTGGATCCCCTAATGTCCATAAGTCAGTCAGATCTGCCCCTATGTTGTTCATTTAAGGAACAACATTGTTGGGGGGGGGGAGGGGGGAACAATGGTCATTCAAATTTTCACATCTGATGTTTAAGTTAGCTGGTTGAGAGTTATTGATAGCAGGCCAGCAGATTGTCAATTTTAGAAAATTACATTGGGAGTTACTATAGCATTACGATTTGCTGTACTTCCTGTGAAGTTGGCACCTGGTTAAACTATTATGTCTCCGAAACTCTTGTCAAAACCTAACTCCTTTGAGTAACTCCTTTGTGTCTTCATTTATATTTCAGTAAGAGTTTAAACAATTCAGGTTCTCTGGAATTGTCTGGAACAGTAATTTCAATATGAATTTCAGTTCTCTCGCAAGCAGTGTAACTATTTTTAAAAAAAACTATTTTCCTGGCTGCATTATATTTGAAAAAGATTAACAAAATAACATAAGATATACAAGCAGAAATAAGCTATTTGGCCCATCAAGCCTGTTTTGCCATTCAAATAAGATCATGGCTGATCTTGTGGTCTGAGCTCCACTTACCGACTCATTCACCATAACATTTAATTCCTTTACTGTTCAAAAATCTATTTTTGCCTTAAAAACATTCAACAAGGTAGCCTCAACTACTTCACTGGGCAGGGAATCTGAGATTCACAACCCTTTGGGTGAAGAAGTTCCTCCTCAATTCAGTCCTAAATCTTCTGCTGCACATTTTGAGGCAATGCCCCCTAGTTCTGGTTTCGCCTGCCAGTGGAAACAACCTCCCTGCTTCTACCTTATCTATTCCCTTCATAATTTTGTTTCTATAAGACTTCCCCCATCACTTTTAAAACACTTACATTTCCAGGCACTAGTTTGAAACTCCACCAAAGCATGATGTTTTTCTTACCTCACCCATCCCCTACCACAAACAAAATAAATCTATTGGAGGAGGTATTTTACACCACAAAACATTGGGCTGAATGGCCTAATTCTGCTCCTTCGAGTCACTCCACATTCGATCATGGCTTCTATGTTTCTCAATCCCATTCTCTTGCCCTCTTCCCATACCTTTGATCCCATTACCAATCAAGAACCTATCTATCAGTTTTAAATACTTGGCCTCCACATTAATGATGCTTTAATGAGTTCCATAGATTCATCATTCTCTGGCTGAAGGAATTACTCCTTATTTCTGTTCTAAATGGTTGACCGTTCACTGAGGCTCTGCCCTTGTGTCCTAGTCTCGTCTCTTTCTCCTACTCGTGGAAGCATCTTCTCCAAATCGATATCTCCAGGGCGCGCTCTATCCTGTAAGCTCAAATCAGATCCAATCTCTGTGTCCTTCTGAATTCCATGGAGTACTACACTCCCAGTCCTCAACTGCTGCTCGTATGACAAGTCCTTCATCCCCGGGATTATTCTCGCAAACTACCTCTGGACTCCCTCCAACGCCAAAGCTCCCTTCTTTAGACGGGGCACAAAAACTGCTCACAATATTCCAAATGTGGTTCCAATAAGGCAGCATGGTGTGTCAGTGGTTAGCACCGTGGCCTAATGGTGCTAGAGAGCTGGATTCAATTCAGCCTTGGGTTACTTTACATGTTGTCTCTTTTTGTCTGCATGGGTTTCCTCCAGGTGCTCCAGTCTCCTCCCACAGTTTGGAGATGTGCAGGTTAGGTGGCTTAGCCATGGAAAATGAAAGGGTTCAGGGATAAAGTGGGGGGGTCTGGGTGAGATGCTCTTCAGAGTATTGGTTTGGACTCAGTGGGTTGAATGGCCTTCCACACTGTAGGGATTCTAGGAAATATGTATATTCCTTGTGTTGTTCCTCAAAAGATGACAGAACCAAACTTCAAATTGCCCCTGAGGAGGTAGTGGTGAGTTGCAGCCATTGGGGCGTTGGGACACCTGTTGTGATGTGGGATAGTATGACACGGTTAATATTTTGTATGGAAGCTTGGAAAAATTCAAATCTGTATGGAAAAAAGATCACTTAATTCTTTTCAAAATTGACCAATCTTAACACGAGCAATTGGGGAAAGTTCAAAACTGCAAAGAAATCATTTAATTCTTAAAAAAAAATTAAAATATGACTTGCACAAATCTAAAAAAAATTAATTTTAAAATTTAACTTAAAATTGGCTCAACTCACTTGAGGTTCCATTTTATGGGAAAGTGCAAGAAAATTCAAATCTGAAAAATATTTAAATTTTTGAACACAAACCAACACTCTGATTTTACAAATCTAATCTTGTGTTTAATGTGCAGTGAGTATTCTTTTTAGGTTCAATTCTATTCAACTTTCAGGATTGGAATGGTTTGTGTGGCTGCCATTTTGTAAGAAATGTGGGAAAATTCATATTCATGGAATTAGATTTCAACTTTTTTTAATCAGTCCGGTTTATGAAGAAGAATTGATCTTTTGGGGGGGAAGCAGTGGTAAATAAACTCAAATTCCTAACAAAAATTATAACTCAGTTTTGTAGGGGGGTGGTGGTTTGTTTATAGCTGCCATTTTATAGGGAAAAATCTGTGGCTGGAAAAGAGACAATTGATAAATTGACATGGCTATTGTGAGCAATGGTGGGGTGCAGTGGGAAGATGGGGGGGGGAATATACTCTGCAAAATAAATCTGTATTCTTCAATGATTATAATATGGCTTGGCAAACCTGATGATTTTATGGGGGTGTTTTGTGAGGGGAAGGTGGTCGGTGATGATTGCAAATTTTAAAGGGAAGGTGGCTAATTTAAATTTGCCAATTCTCCAAATTCAAACAAACTAAAAACAGTATATTTTAAACTGAGCGTCACAAATTGCAAACAAAAAAAACTGAACAAATATTTTTGAAGAAAATACAAAAGGTTCCATTCCCATTTTGGGATGAGGTTTTATTGTGGCCGGTGTGAGGGGAAATTCAGACTTGCCAATTCTCCATTTTAAAATGACCCAAAAACAAAACAGTTGAAACCGACTTCGTGAAATGAGGGAATTGTACACACAAAACAAAATCCCAGCAAACTAAATACAAATGTTGTTCAAGGGAAAATTAAAGGCTCCACTTTCCTTTTGGGATTGTGGTCATTGTGAAAGGAAAGACAATTTGCCAATTCCACATTTCAAAATTAATGAAATACCCCAAAAACGTTGAAAATGACTTTTTGACATGAGCAATTGCAACCCCCAAAAATATTTCCCAACAAAGTGAATACAAAATATTTTCAGGAAAAATGTAAAAATTAAAATATAATTCAGTAATTAAAGATTAAATAAAACAAAAGTTATAAAAAAAAAACAATTTAACAAGTAGAAAATAAAGCTGGAGAAAATTAAAATTACAATGAAGTAAAATTTTTAAATTGGAGAAAATTAATAGAAAAAATTTAACTAAGAATTTTAAAATGGAGGAAATTGAGAAATAAAAACTAGAAAATTAACATTTGGATTAAGTTAAAGGAAAATTTATAAATAGAAAATTATACCAAATTGGAGGGAAAAAATTAGATAATTAAAAAAATTAGAATATTTTAAAACTGGACAAAACTTGAAATAAAAAATTTAGAAAATAAAGTAGAAACTTTAAGGTGGAAGTTTAAAAATAGAAAATTAGTATGAGAAAGTTAAATTAAGAAAATATGAAAATTAAAAATGGAAAAGACAATAGAAAATATTAAGAAAGAAAATTAACACAATTAAGAAAATCTGAAACTGAAAACTGGAAAGAAATAGGAAATTAATGAAGTCAAATTTAAAATCTGAAAATTAAATTAGAAAGAAATAAATAGAAAATTTTAAATTTGGAGAAAAAGTAGAATGTGAACATAATTGTTAAAAAGTAAGTTAGAAAACTTGAGAAAATAAACTTGGAAGAAAATTAGAAATTGTAGGAAATTGGAAGAAAATGAATGACTCCCATTCTTTTGCTTCCTCTCCCCAACCAACCCCATGAAAAGGAGTCAAGTTGTGGCCACCATGTTGGAAAGGAAAGGGGGGAAAATTCAAACCGTATTTTTGTTGTTTTCTTGTCGAAGAAACACACCTATTACAGTACCTTTTCGAAAAAGAAGAGACACACACACGTACTGAAGGTTAGTTTGTAAAGTGGTGAAGGGAGGAAGGTATAAGTCCACAATTATCCTGACATTCTATTTCCAGCAACAGTTCCAAGGGTCACCGGACCCGAGGCGTTAACTCTGACATTTTTTTTTTCTTCCTCACAGATGCTGTCGGACCCTGCTGAGCCTTTCCAGCAACTTGTTGTTTTTGTTTCACGTTTCCAGCAGCAGCCTGTCCTCCTTTCAGAGAGAGGAAGGGAGCCGCCGCCATTTTGTGGGAGGCGGCGCGCGCGGGAAAATTCAAAAAAAACGACCAGGCATTGAGAGCGCGCGATAAGGAATAAATAAACAAACCATGAATAAACCTTTCTTTCTTTAAAAATAGTTGTGTGTTGGGCAGAGGAGGAGTGTTGGTTTTTATTTATTTTTTTTAGAAGTGAAGGTTTGAGGGAAGCGGCGGTTGGTGCCGTCCGCCATTTTGTACGAGGCGGGAAGTTTGAATCTAGA